AGTCTCTCACATAGTGGTTAGCTGCGCATGCGCGGCTACCCACAAAAATGGGACAAATTCTGACAATTTTGTCTAAAATTAAGTCAATTTTTTGGCAAATTTTGTTATTTTTCGAAAATTTGTGTCATGTTCCGAAAAATATTGGTTGTCCGGAAAATTTTTTTGACCCCTAAAATGGTACACGGACCGAAATTTTTTTGGCGACGGGGGGGGGGAGGTCGCCAAAATAATTTTTCCGGAAAAAATTTTTGGTACTAGTCGGGCAGAATCCCGAAAAGTCGGGCAATTTTCTTTCCGCCCCCCTAATTTTTTCCTTCCGGTACGCCCATGCCAGCACCTAACCTGCGAACGGGCATACTCTGGGGCCAAAATTGTGTCCCACTGAGCTATACTATATTACTGGAGGACCTGCTCGGGATCAAAAAGTGTCGCCAAAAACATGGCGGATCTTACGCCATTTCCATGACAACACTTACTTTATTTTCATGGTAACTGCCACTGACCAGCCGCGATCCTAAGCTTCCGACGATGTCCTTAACCCCCCTGGTTTTTGGGACAAAAGATTTGATTCGATATAGAGATATATAGTTTTCTGTTGTTTTTGGGCTAAAAAATCTTAATATTTCCCTCGAACATTACTTGTTTTACAACGCGGAGCGAGGGTACAGGTTTGCTTTGCTTGTGGATGCAGCATTTCACTACAAAGAAAGACTAATTCTTTCAGGTAAGATTCACGAAACCTTTTTATAACTTTCTAGACGGCTAGAGTCACTAGACCCTTCATAATTATGTCAAAAACTCATCCTAATATATACAGCAAATATTTCAATAGGGGACATAAAAGTATTGTTAACGATTAAACATTGTGTACATGAAATTATGTTGTTTTGTGTTAGCACTGACCTTTGTGGTTTTATTGCCAGTTTTTAATTTATACTAAAAATTGTGGTTGTTTTACATGTTCATATATTTTAAAACGTTTATTAAATATGGTGTGAAATTTATATACTTGCCCATCACAGTGCAGAATTAGTATATATAGATAAGCACAAGACCAGAGAGATTCGAGCCGGAGAGGAGGCCCACCTGCATGTGACAATGCATGTGCCCTAGTGTCCTGATGAGCCCTAAAGACTGTCTTTATTATTTTACTCTGTCTGTCTAATGCCAGACGATTTTAAGGGGATTGAGACTGCTCCCTGCTGCCACACAGTGGGTTAATTACACTATCTGTAAATGAGCAGCCCCTGAGATATATAGTCAGCCCATTAAGCTGCAATGAACCCTGGCTACTTTCTTATTTTACTCAATCAGTCAATCTGAGATTAAATGCAGATGTTTTACTCGTCAAGGGAAGAGTCTTAAAAATAGATATCATTTTGCCATTGTCTGTTCAGAACTATATAAAACTATATATAGTTTTACACAGCTTGTGGCCAACACAAATGTTGCCCACAAGCATACACTAATCATGAGGTAAATTCGGAATGCTACAACATTTCTAACAAGGGCGGATTTTCATTTATTTAAAAGGAGGGGTAGAAAAATTTCTAGTGGGGTGCAAGCGGCACCACTCAGTGAGCTTTGGCAGGGTAAAATATTGTCTAAGGATTGTGGTGCATGGATTAAAATATCCGTGCAAGAAGAAGTAGTTACCGGTACAATTGTTCGGTAATTAATTTAATTAAGCAAGCCACAAGGAATGAAGGCTCCGTATAATTCAAATTTTTGTAGCAATTTATTTCAGCGTGCATCGCTGTAAAGCCAGTTTTCCTGAGCATGCGCAGATTGAAAAGAGGTTGATAAATCCACGTACTTCCGCGTGTATTCGCGTATCAAAATGAAAAGTTTGTCATAAGTCAACCTTTTGGCGTCCTACAGAAGTATTACCAATCAACATTCACTAAATGTTGAAATTTAAAAATGTTTAACGTTTTTGATACGCCTAGGCCGTGGACTGTTGTGCGAAAAAGTGTCTAGAAAAGCGATTTCGTGGCACCCTCCTGGGAAATATATTTTCTGTGGTTCAATTCATAGAACCATAGATGCTTAATTACCACAAAAAGTTCCCAAGCAAAAAACTTGCCCAACACGGAGAAAATGGGTGATTAGTGATTATCCTCTATTAAATTGTATTAGGCCACTCCAAATTAGACTTTAGTTTCCCGTCCTCCGCCCGCGTCTCCTAGAACTGGCCGCATGATTTGTCCATTTTTGCGAAATTGTTTCCATTATTTGACCTTTATGACTAAGAATAATGAAAATGTACAGTTTTCGAAAAATCTATCGTTCAAGAAATACGTAAATCAAAACAAAATTGTTCAAACTTTTATACGAAAGAGCGTGAATTGTTGTTTTTGTTCGTTTTTACTACAGTATAGTTCTAACCGCTGAGCTAGACACTTCCGTTACACGTTTTGATTTTCGAACGTAAGGTTAATTAATATCCTGGCTTTCATTTCTGCATGCATACAAAAAACCAAAACAGGACGTAGTAACGTGGTTGAATGGATATTTAAAATGTGTAACTATTTCATGGAATAATGGGTCGTGTCAGATTCGTTCAGATACCATAATGGATAATGGAAATGGCCGCCCGCGTGTAATTCGAAATAAGGCGCGGACGGGAAACTAAAGTTTAATTTGGAGTGACCTTACAGCAAGAAAATGTAAAATTTTGTATTCAATTACAACAAAACTGACTTGCATTATCAGAAAGCTTACAAACATCTACATATAAGACATTTAAACAGATTTTTTATATCTAAAATTGTTTTCGAGTTATACGCTGTCAAGAACGCGTTTTTGACCTAGTACCCAGTCCTTATTGCGACATTTTGGTCCAATTTTCACATTTAGGGACAGGTCATTATTTATGGCGGCACCGAAGAGAAATGTTTTCCGTGTCAAAAATTTTGCTGACCCAACCATTAAAAAGACAAAAATTTGATTACCCAACCTCAAATATCAATTAAAAAATAACTACCCACCCCTGGCCAAAAACTTAACAAAAGGATACCATTCAGTTGTCATACATGTCCTCTATCACTTCAATGACATGAGGTTGATAACGGCTTGTGAAATGTTCTGCAGTCTAAAGTTTCATGTTGTCTGCACATGTACTTTCTTTGGAACACAATTTGTTTTGTCAAACTATTACGAAAGTCACCGAACTGTGGAATGGGTCCAAATTTTTGTATTGCGACCACACCCACTTTCTTTAATTGACACACCCTCTTTCTTCGAGTTGTTGTTGTCTGACTCGGAATCGACTCGAATATCAGAACAAATTTAACAGATCAGCTTTATAAATATAATAACTATGGATAGATATGAATTTAAAGTGAAACTCGGTGGAGATAGGTGTGTTAAGATGTTTTTGAACTCAATTGAGATGAAAACGTTAGATTTTCACTCACTTATGCAAAGAATTTTGGAAAGAGTTCCGAGTCTTTGTGGCAAAGAAGTTGCATTAAAGTATTTGGATGACAGAGAGGACTGGGTTGACCTTCCAATCGGAGATCTTGATTCATTTATTGATATGGTCGAAACGGCAAGAAACTCAACTCGCGAAAACCTAAAAATTATTCAACTTAAAGTGAATGAGTTAGCTAACACACCACAAGATGGCGCAAAGCACGGCGTTTCACAAAAGCGTTCTCGAGTTTCTCCGTCTCCCTCTCCAAAATCCGCGGACGCTGTATTAGTACACATGGCTAAAAAGTCAAGACCTCTGTCAGCCGCGAAATGCCTTGAGTTTGATAATACCACCACTGAGACAGCTGATAAAATATACCGGTCTCCCGCTGATAAGTTCTTTGATAAACTTTCGAAAGACAAGGACAATGTAGAACAAAATGTCGCAAAGAAGCAACGTGAATTATCTGAACTTCAAAATAGCTGTAAACCACTAACTGGCGCCACCGTGGAAGGCAAGAAGGCGTCTTTATGCTCAGTTTGCCATTCAGCGGGACATAATAAATCTATTTGTTCATTCCCTCCTTGTTCTTCTGCGACAATATGTAAAGAAATCAAACGGCACCCAGATGAGGAGAAATATATTAAACAAATACAGTCTGAGTTGAAAGTTTTAAATGGGAAATTAAAGCAACTAGAAAACGATCTTACTTCCAAGAAAGAATCCTACGCCTCAGCTCTCAACACATTTGCTGCCAAAGTGCAAGCAAATCTAATTAACAGCAATCCTGATAAATACCTTAGGAAAACTATCGCTGGAGACAACGTACCGAACTGGCTAGTCGTGAATACAGATATTCGAAAGCTTGAAAGAGTGTGTAAGGGAAAAGTTCCAGATATTGGAGAAATTCAGAACTTACTATTACGAAAGTCACCGAACTGTGGAATCGCATCAAAAATTCGTATATCGACCACTCCCACAAACGTCTACGACCACGCCTACATTCGACTACATAGTTTTGCATGTTTACAATTCTAATTTTGAACAGCCAATCAGGTTCTTGGTAATTGGCTGTTTAAAATTAGAATTGTAAACGTGCAAAACTATGTAGGCGCGGTCGTAGACGTTTGTGGGAGTGGTTGACATACGAATTTTTGATGCGATTCCACAGTTCGGTGACTTTCGTAATAACCAAGTACGAAGCAGGATTTGATGTTTTTAATGAAACTGTGAGCGAACAGTCAACACAACGTGAACATGTAAATCCAGTGGTCAAGCTTTGGGAACAGAAAGGAATAAAATTTCCAGGGAAAGGCGTACTTCCGAACAGCACTTATTCTACTAGCAGTCAAGTAATTCCTTCTACAGCATCAGGGCAATATTTCCCCGCTACTTTGGAGGAAGAGAATTACCACATTAAAATAGGAATTGAACAAAGTTTGCAATCATTGCCATTATCGGATATGCACACCGTCGCTGGGATACCCGCGATTAGTTGTACTGGTCGCTCTGAGCGCCATGATTTCGTTGAAGAATCCGAGGAAGAAACAGATTACGGACTTTCGCTACTTTTTAAGGCAGCACAATTAATGAGCGAATAAACTACGGTAATTTTACACAATTCATAACAATCTCGGTAAATCTAATTATATAGATTACATAGTTGATATTGACAGTTGACATTTGTTATTCGTTATTTTGCGCGTTGCTTTTGAGTTGGAAATTGTTATAGTTTCTTGTTTTACAGTTAAAAAATATCAATTGAAAGCGTTAAAATAACATCAATCTGTTGTGAGCATCACTGATATTGTCATGCATGTATTAACGTTAACCTGAAACAGCCGCATATTTAATATTTGATACAGAAATATGCGGCTGTTTCAGGATAATGTAACCTTTGAAAATTGTGCTTTATCATTTCTGACTGACTTGTGGAAGTCGTGCCATATAAGAGAAATTATACACAATTATGGTCGGTAGTGACAGTGCAACTGCTGTATTTGTAATATGGCTATTTGTAATACATTGATATTATAAACTGAAATACGGTTGATTTATTTATCTAGTATTAAAATACATGAAACAATTTGAACAATTATATATGGACAAATTTGGAATTTTACAAGGTTTAAAATGTTCTATGATACGTGTTCTACATGCAACATTTATATTGTCTGAACTACCATGTTCAGACAGGCCATAGACAATCAAAGGAATTCCTATGGACAGGCTTAGCCTACATAAAATATTCCCTCGATCTAGTGTATACAAAAGTTTCTGAACATGCACTAATTACTTAAGCATATGAGTAAGGCGTGTTTCAAACATCAGCTGAAATGCATCATCTATTAATGTTGTTTCTAATGCATTCGACACATGAGAAGAGTGACGTTTGAAACAGGCTTTAAACAGTTAAACATTAATGTATCCAGTGAACTTAAAAA